CAGCAAAAATTAAATATATAAACTAAAATCAGACAGTAAATATTTAAATAATCCAAAATAAGGTATAGGGGTGCCTGGGTGGCTCAGTCGGTTAAGCATCTGACTTCGGTTCAGGTCATGATCTCACAGTTTGTGAGTTCAAGCCCCGCATTGGGCTCTGTGCTGACAGCTCAGAGCCTGGAGCCTGCTTCAGATTCTGTGTCTCCTTCTCTCTCTGTTCCTCTCCTGCTTGCCCTCTGTCTCTCTCTCTCTTTCTCTCTCTCTCTCTCTCTCTCTCAAAAATAAATAAAGACTAAAAAAAAAATTAAAAACAAAATAATGTATAAAGGAACAAAAAAATAGGGTACAGAGAACAAATAATAAAATAACAAACCTAAATCTAACCATATCAATAATTAATTTAAATGTTTATGGTCAGGACACCTGGCTGGCTCAGTCAGAAGAGCATGCAACTCTTGATTTTCGGGTCATGAGTTCTAACCACTGGGTGTAGAGATTGCTCAAATAAATAAATAAATAAACTTTAAAAATAAGTAAATAGATGGATAAATAAATAAATAAATGTTTATGGTCTCAACACTCCAATTAAAGTCAGATTGTTGGGGCACCTGGGTCGCTCAGTCAGTTAAGCACCCAACTCTTGATTTTGGCTCAGGTCATGATCTCGGTTTGTGAGGTTGAGCCCTGCATCGAGCCTGACATAACATGAAACTGGAACTCTAAAAAGCTCTAGATCTATTAAAGAAATTTAATTTATCATTAGAATTTCCCAAAAAGAAACCCCTAGACCCAGAATGGTTGATTCCACTGTTGAATACCACTGCAATAAGGTTTTTTCCTTTATATATATATTTTTTATTTTTTAAGTTTATTTGTTTATTGGGGGAGGGGGGAGCAGAGAGAGAGTGAGAGAGAGGATCCCAGGCAGGCTCCTTGCTATCAGCACAGAGCCCAACTCAGGGCTCAATATCTGGAACCTCTGAGATCATGACGTGAGCAGAAATCACCAGCCGGACACTTAATCGACTGAGACACCTAGGCACCCTTTTAACCTTTTTAAAGGGGAGGAGGAGACATAAAGACCAAAAAAGGAGAAAAGAAAACTGCCCCTTTTTGCAGATTATATGTTTGTTTACAAAGAAAATCTCAAAAAATAGAAAAACTACTAGAACTAAAAATGAATTAAGCAAGTGTCAGGACACAAGGTTAACACATAAAATCAATCGTATTCTTAGATACCAGCAACAACAAACTAGAAATGAACTTACAAAAATAGTATCATTTATAATAACATGAAAAACACATAAAATACCTAAGAACAAATCTAACAAAAGATAACCAAGATTTTATAATGAAAACTGTATCATGTTGGTGAGAGAAGTTAAAGATCTAAATAAACGGAAAAATATACCATGTTCATAAATCAGAAATCTCAGTATTGTTAAAATGGCAACTCTCTCCAATTGGTCTACTGATTCCATATAATACCAATCAATACTTCAGCATGCTTCTTTTTATAGAAATCGATAAACTGACTCTAGAATTTATATAAAAAGACAAAGAACCTAGAATAGCTAAAAAAAATTTTAAAAAAGAACAATAAAGTTAGATGACTTCTCTAATTTCAAGATTTACTCTAATCCTACAAGACACTTTAGTATTGGCAAAAATATAGATACATACATCAGTGGAACAGAATAAGGAGTCCAGAAACAGACCCACACATATATATATTCAAATAATTTCTGACAAAGGTGCCAATGTAATTGAATAGGGAAAGGGAAGTATTAACAACAGGATAAATAATAAAAAGAAATTAACATTGATTCTTATGACACACCATGCACAAAAAATTAGCTCTAAATGTATCACAGACCTAAATGTAAAACCTAGAAAACTTCTAGAAAAAACAAAGGAGAAAATCTTTGCAATTAGGGATGGCAAAGTTTCCTCAATAGAATACAAAAAGCAGGAAGGGTAAGGGAAAAAATAATAACATTTTAATCATTTTTTTTTATTTAATTTATTTTTTTTTTAATTTTTTTTCAACGTTTATTTATTTTTGGGACAGAGAGAGACAGAGCATGAACGGGAGAGGGGCAGAGAGAGAGGGAGACTCAGAATCGGAAACAGGCTCCAGGCTCTGAGCCATCAGCCCAGAGCCTGACGCGGGGCTCGAACTCACGGACCGCGAGATCGTGACCTGGCTGAAGTCGGATGCTTAACCGACTGCTCCACCCAGGCGCCCCACATTTTAATCATTTTTAATGATAAATTTATAATTTTTGGTCTTCAAAAGACACAATTAAAAAATGAAATGCAAACCAGAGACTGGAAGGAAATATTCAAGATACATCTATCAGATAAAGGAACTGTACTCGGAACAGAATTTTTAAAAATACTACAATTCCATAGTAAGACAAACAACTCAACTTTTTAAATGGGCAAAAGATACGAACAGGCACTTTGCAGAAGATACATGAATGGCTAATAAGCACATGAACAGATGTTCTACATCATTATTCATCAGGAAAATGCAAATCAAAATCACAATGAAACACCACTCTACACCCATAAAATTGGCCAAAATTTAAGGCTTATTCCCATATACTGCTGGTATATAAAATAATACCACCAATTTGGAAAACAGGTAATTTCTTAAAAAGGTAAACATAATCCTGACATATGGCCCAACCAACCTAAAATGGTATATCTTAGTAAATAAATACCATCGTAGGCATTGATCAAGAGAGAAAAAACATTTTTCCACAGAGACTTGTATGTGGATGTTCACAGCAGCTTTAATACCCCCAAAATAAAATTAGCCAAATGTCCATCAAGGTAGATAGCTAAACAAATCATGGTATATCCATAATGGAATTCTATTCAGCAATAAAAACTAATTTTCAGTCAAAAATTATTATATTGAGTGAAAGAAATCATGCAAAAAGAAAACATACTATATGATTTCATTTATATAAAATAACATATAAAATTTCATTTATATAAAAAACATACTATATGATTTGCATTTATACATGCAAACCACTGTACGGTGACAGAAAAAGGTCGGTGGTGTCCAGAACAGGAGCAGAGGAAGGAACGGATTACACAAAAACTTCTGGGAGAAATGGAAATGTTATCTTGATTGTGCTGACAGTGTTACGGTTATTTACAAATGTCAACGTTGATCACACTGTCTACTTTAAATATGTAAACTGTGGGTATGTAATATGTAAATGTATGGTATCTTGTACTTCAATGATACCTCAATAAAAGTATTAAAAAAATTTTTTTTTAATAAGAATTGGCAGTCCTCTGCGCCAAAACCCACCCTCCAAAACAATGGGACCAATCTCTACCAGGAAGACTTGAAAGTATCAACAAGCCATTAAGAGTCAAGTCCCATGTGACTCCTCTTAGTAAACTGTCCTCATAGGAATTTCTTTACGGTCAGCGTAGGACTCAGACGCATATCCCGTCTCATGAATAAGTACAAGCACATGATCAGCATGATTAGCATCTTGGGAATTAAGTCAATGTGGTTAGAGAACCCCTCCCTCTAGGCCTCTTTTATTTTTAGAGGACTCACCAAAACCAATTATCAAGTATTTTACAATACTTGTCCAATGAGGGTATTTGGTTACTTGCAAAAACTCCAATTAATCTCAAACTTCCCTTACCATAACTATGGCAAGAAAAAGTTCAAACAGTATGATCATAATTGTAGTGACTTTATAATTTGTTGTCTGTGGCATTACTTTTCAGTCTCAGCTTCTAATCACAAGGAAGAAAAGTTTAACCTATTTTTGACTCCCCTCTGATCTACCAAAAATTTTTACAAGACCGTAGTTCATTCTCTAGGTGCAACTACTTAGATTTCATTAGAAAATTATTTTGGTTCATCTCAGTTTCTTTTGCAGCCTCCCTTCATTCTACCCAATCCTTAAATGCTGACATTCTCCAGGGTTTCATCCCGTAGTCTCTTCTAGTCTCACTTCTCCCCAATGGTTCTCAAACTTTCTCCTACAAAGTCAGTTAAAAATAAGGATTCCTATACCCTAACTCCAATGATTCTGACTCAGATTAATAGATGAGGGCCTATTATTCTTTATATCTCTTAGCAATTACCCACTTGTTATTCCATTAAATGCTTTCACCTGTTCACATTCTGTTCTCTATGAAAAATACCTTTTCCTTATGGCTAACTGCATTATTTCTTGACTTTCAAGTCTGTTTAGAAGTGATTTGCTCTGGCAACTCTTCCCTTCTGAACTATCACTCCCCCTCCCTAAATGCTATATTAAATTCCTGTTTAAAAATATTTAATTACACTGTATCATGTTGATGTACTTGCCTATCTTCCCTTTTAGATTATTAGTTCTGTGTTTTTCTTGCCTGTATATCTAACCTACTACAGAGCTGGCACATACCAGATATTTAGTAAATGTTATCTGAATGAATTAACCCTTTCAGTGAATATCTAGTTAATAAGAATCTATTTTGTAATAACAAATATGAAAAAGGTTAGCACATTCGGTCTACAAAGTAATAAACCAGTCTTAAAGCCAAGCAGTCTGAAAAGAAAAGGATTTCTTCCAGGCATTTTTATCAATCCTTCCCATGTTCATCAATGTATTCATGAGTACATACTTGATGTCTGAGGATATGCGAGGCTACACTAGGTCATACCTTCCATTTTTAATATAATTCGTGCTTTTCTTTGCAAGCTAGGTTCTTCTCCCCTACATTAGGTTTAGACCCGCACTGTCCAATCAAGGTAGGCACTAACTATAGGTGGCTATTTAAATTTAAGTTAAGATCAAATACAATTTAAAATTCAGTTCCTCAATCACACTGGCCACATTTCAAGTGCTCAAAAGCCATACGTGGCTACGGTCCTTTACAGCGGGAATACAGAACATTTTCATCATCACAAAAGTTCCATTGGACAGCGCTGGCGACACAATTATAAATGGACCCCAGAAAATCTCACTTACTTCTTAGCTCCCACGATCTTCGTGCTCCTCTGGTGCTTAAAGGATGTGGGTTCCGGAGTCTAGCAAATCGCAAGCACATGAGTGAATGCTAGGGACCGCTGAACCTTGACCACAAAAAGACGAATCCCCCTGTGCCCAGAAGAAATGAAGCTCTCCCGGGGCAACCACCTCCAACGGAAGAAAGCAAGACTTTTTTGGAAAAGCGTGTCGTCCTGTCTTCCTACCCAGCCAAGGCAGGTGACAACACCATAGCCTTCATCTCCCCCATTCTCAAAGCCCCGTCCCAGATAGAGGCTCTAAAAGGGAGGCGAAAAGAGAGGACAACGGATATGGGAGGTACTGGGGATATAAAAGAAATAGAAACTAATGGCAATCTAGCGAAGAACTGAGTCCAAGGAGGTGGGAACAGTCAGCGGTAACTGGGGGGAAAAAGGGAGACAGGTAGATCTGACCTAGAAGGGTGGGGCCTACGATGGGCTCTGATAAAACCAACTCTGAGCATGGCACAAAAGCGAGGGACCGCGTGTTGCGGGCTCGACAGCGCTACCCCTAAAACATAACGGTCAAACCGAGAAACTCACGGCGGGTACTGCACCGAGCCTGGAAGACATCACTCCCTCTCCACGCCTAACAAATCCACCCAAGGGCTCCGGCCAGACCAACGCCACTTCCGCTCTCCTCTCCTCTCCCGGATGTGGAGTCGGCGCCGCCGAGTCCAGATCTGAACGTCTACTTCCGCCTGGCGGCTTCCGAGGGGGCTGCGGCTGGAGTGAGTCACATGACGTGCCTCCCTCCTCTGAGACCCCGCCCCAGGAGGCTGTAGGTGGGGTTTGGACCTCAACACGGCCTCAGAACCCCTTCCTGTCGTTCCATCCTTTTGCGCGACACCAAATATCCCTCCACCCTCCATTCCCCACCCAGCACGACGAGTGGTGTTTCTGGATGGAGATCAATTATTGCCCCTTTATTTATCTTAGAGATATTACAGACCCATTCCCGCCCTCCCTCCCCCAGGAAGAGTGGCAGAGACGCTCTTTGCTGAGGGCGCAGGTATTGGAGGCAGTGGCTTAGCAGGAAAGAAGCCAGGAAAGGGCAGCTTGGTGAAGACTTGAGCCAGTCAGTGAATAAGGGGGGCGGATCTCTTCTCATCTGTTAGCTTCAGGACTCTAAACTTGCCCAGCTTTGGGTATTTTGTGTGTTTGAGTAGCCCTTGAAATCTTTAGACACACTATGTCTGAGCCTCTCCCTAGGGTAGCTGCGCTTGAGTCTCTCCTTAGGGGGACTGTGATGGGTTTTCTCAGACCAACTGTGTTGACCCCTCTTAAAATGACTGTGTTTGCTCTGTCCAAGTGACTGTGTCTGCTCCTCTCAGAGGAACTGCAGTGAGTTCTCTCTGAGGAACCGCAACCACCCCTCACAGGGGGTCTGTGCTGTCTTCTCCCAAAAGGGCTGTGTCCTCTCCTCCCTAAGGGACTGTGATGAATTTTCTGAAAGGGACTGCGACATCTCCTCTCAGAAGGACTGCGACATCTCCTCTCAGAGGGACTCTGGCAGCTCCTTTTGGAGACACTATGATGGCTCCTCTGAGAAGGACTTTGATTGCTCCTTTCAGAGAGACTGCGATGGCTCTTCTGAGAAGGACTGTGATGTCTCCTCTCAGAGGGACTGCGACATCTCCTCTCAGAGGGACTCTGATGTCTCCTTCCAGAGAGACCGCGATGGCTCCTCTGAGAAGAACTTCGATGGATCCTCTCAGAGGGACTCTGATGGCTCCTTCTGGAGATACTGCAATGACTCCTCTGAGAAGGACTTTGGTGGCTCCTTCTGGAGATACTGTGATGGCTCCTCTGAGAAGGACTTTGGTGGCTCCTCTCAGAGGGACTCCAATGGCTCCTTCCAGAGAGACCGAGATGGCTCTTCTGAGAAGGACTTCGATGGATCCTCTCAGAGGGACTCTGATGGCTCCTTCTGG